AGTTTCATTCCAGCTCATTAGTGATCAAGTGCTCTGAAAACTTCGACTTTCTGAAGGGCTTTGCAATGCAACGTTTTAATTTCTAGAATTTTGATATCTGTACAAATTTTCAATTTCCTTTTAAATTTGCTTAAAGATTTTGGTGAAGAAGTAAAAAAGAATACTATTCCTGATTTACGTCAGGAAAAACTCAAAGGAGGAGGGAATCCACAAGCGATAGTTTACTAGTAAACAAAAAGTCAACGACATACAAAAATGTCATCAGGGCTGAAGGAAACGAATTCTGGATGCATGCCAATTGACAGAATTAGACCTGGACACGTGGATAGAGCTTGTGCTGTTTTTATCTGACTTTTTTGACGTTTATCAGTGAACGAACGGTGAGGTGACGAAAATGAATGATGTTGCTCCACGGGAAGTATTTCGAAAGCCCCGAATATCTTAGATGCATTAAATTATAATGAGCACAAATATCGGAATAAAGACACTTAAGATGTTTATGGTTTATTTTCTAACTACATCAAAACTATCACACCATTACTTTTCTTATGTGGTGCAGCATTGCACGCATTTGCATATTTATTTATTTTAATTATATGGATAATTGTTATTTTGATACTAACATTTTAAAATATATGATAACATAAGGAGTTATGTTTGAATAAATACGCCTTCCAGACAGTACTTCAAGTCGCTCACTGTTTTAAATTTTATAGACGTAACTGATGAACCAAATTAAAATGAAATCAGTCTTTTAAATATTAATGGCCATCTTAAAAGACAAGCCTTGCCCTATAAAATAAAATATAATGTTATGATGTTTTGTTGACTTTTTCAAGAATTCTAGATTTATTGAATGAGAGATAGCAAAAAGACTGGAAAATTACATTTTATTCAGAATTGTGGATTTGTCAATCCATTAATATTATTCCATAGATATTTTTTTTACATATTTTTTTTATGTTTTAAATGTTGTATCTTCATCATTTTATAAATCAAGTCCCCTAGATTTTAATTAATCTGCATATTAGCTTAAAGTAAAATTCAACAATCTTAAGCTCCCATAGACATCTAAATCTAACCTCCATCTCTGCTTTGTAGTGTTGAATTACAGGTTGCATCAATTCTTACCAACCAAACAACTAACTAAGCCACAAAATCCCAAGCAGAAGCCAAATATATAACACAGGTATAACGAAAACAGATAAATCGCATAATATGAATCCAAGACCACACATGTATTCTAAAACTAATCCAACTTGGACACGAAATAGCTTGTTAACACTTGACAAATTGGTCATTGGTGTAGCGAACGGCTGTGCGAAAATCAAATAGGGTTATAACCTTTGGTTAGCTAAACATAGTCCTCGCACCTGTCGCATCTGTTTGCTCAGAAAGTGACAGAGTTATTGCAGCCCTGTTCTGTAGTCCAGGGCAGTTAGACGCAAATACAAACCAATAATAATTATCGGACAATAAAACAATACAATACTAATGGCTCGCCTTATGCTAGTCGCTATAATTAAAGGATTTGTTGATTTAAAAATTGTTAATTAGAATATATTTAAATTTAAATAAAAACGCCAGAACTAGACTAAAACACTGCCCATTCCTCCCATTCCTCAACATATCCTATTGACCAGCATAGCCTATCGACATTACGGAAAAAACCGCTATCCATCTTAAGGTACAAGTAAGTCTCAAATTAAAATGATATCCCACCGTTCATACCAGGACACAGATACTATTCTAATTCATTCACTATTCGTGCGGGCTCACAAAATTTGTATCTCGACAGTTGAGTTTTAAATTCTCGGTAGGTACTTATTAATCCAAGCCATACATTCTTAAAGATATTAAGCAGTATGGTAACTAAGTATCAATAAAGTATTTTAATGTCCCAGATAAAGACTCTGCATCGAAACTGGGAGCCAAAGTAGCTTCTCAATGTAAGAAGAAACAGTACTATTACCAGAGTTTTATGCGTGTAGGAAAACCTTGGTGTGGAGGATTGTATGAGTGGTACCTATTAAACATTTTTTAAGGCTTGTGTCAGCTTTTGCTGTAGATAAGTAAAATTGGCCGCCCAGTTTTGAGTTGATGTTACAGCTGTAATTTCAAATCTCAATTGTATAGCATAACAACAGTCCTTCAAAAGAGTGCTTGATGACGTAGATAAAGAAAAATAGAATGAGACCTTTGGGAATAAGAAACCAAGATCAAAAACTAATATAGTTTAGTAAGGTAGATTATCTTCATTCACAATTCATTCTATGTCACATTAAAGTTGCTATACCGTTTTCTCTTTATGATGTCCATAACAATACACTTGCAAGTTCTGTTCGCATTCAATGTGCTTTAGAGATAACTTATGAGCGATAATTCTCAATACACAAGAGATTAAGATAAAATATCGGTGGTTCTCTGGGAATTTTAGGGAAGTTAGTGATTTGAGCACAAATTTACTGATTTGGTTCGTTGGGGGTCAGATCATTGGCAAATTCTGGAATGTTTGAGAACAGGTCACTCGCTATTTCGCCCGCTGAGTATAGTAGTTTAAAATTTGTATCTTGCTCAAAAAATCCTTCAACGCTAACACATTCTTGTGTGCGTTAGTACGTGACTGAACTCTTTCTGAAAGGCTGGATCGGTTTTGATGGAATTTTTTCTGTGTTCCAATAGATTCGAGAATGATTTAGATTCACAATTCTGTTTACTAGAAAATGTATATTTACTTATTTATTTTATAAAGAGTTTCTAATTTTTGTTGTTAAGACGTGTGTAGGTACACTGTGTAAGTCGAGTCCGCCAGTATATTTTAAACATTAAATTATAGCTCCAAAGATTGTACAGTAATTAGATGCACAGTTAAAGTATTTGCTAAACAAGAAAACGTTACTTTTCGTGGCAGCAAAGACGTAAAAACCGAGAGATCTGTAAAAGCAGTAACCCAAGTAGGCACAAAAATATTTTCGCCTATAGGTTAACAACATCGACCCAGTAAAAAAGGAATCGATTAATGAACGATTATTTCATTAATTTATCTCCGGTTCATTAGATCGTTTTCCGATCCTACATTTATTATCGGGATACGCTTTCAAGATAAAACGGAGGATGATTAATTGACACAGCGTAATTATCCCACAGGTGGGGGCGTTCTGTTTGTGGGGAAATCCCCTGTAACCGATTAAATTGTTATTGACACGTGTGACAAAATTGGCTCGGTATTGTTGGGTTCTGACCGGCAGCCATGTTTGGTAAAATATTGCACCCCAAATAAAATATTTTTAGTATGTGTTTGCTGATTAAAAATTGCCGGGACGAAATGGAATGCCGAGGTGTAGGGATTCCACTCCAATCTGAAACCGAATGAAATTTCCGCGAATTCTCCCATGAAACAGTAGCTATTAAAAGGGTTATCCTTTCTACATAATTATTGTTCTACAATGTATTACGTAGTTCTATGTCGTACAGCACTAATGAAAATATCTTTGTCACACTAATATTATTGAAAAACATTTTTTTCTTACCTGGAAATTCGTCTAGGGTGATGCCGAATACAACATCAAAATATCAATATAATTACAAGTATTAGAGGCTACAGCGTGTATATTTGGAAATGTTTATAAAAAGTCTATAAATGGAATAAATAGGCTATTTTTGAAGTAGAACCAACATTTCCCGAAATAGACGATCATAATTTCGAAGTTCAGTTTTGTTGTATCCTGTCATTTGTCACATGATCAAGGGTAATTGGCAATTAGTATTCTTGACAAATTGATTACTAATTAAATAGTGGGCAACTAATTAAATAAGGTAGGTAGCGGCTTAGCTCTACTCCTGGCATTGCTGACGTCCATGGGCGACGGTAACCACTCATCATCGGGTGGATCGTATACTCGTCTACTTACAAGGTTAATAAAAAATTCTAATAGTTTTTTATTGCGTAGACTGGTGAACAAATTTCGGCCCAAGTTAGGTATGAGGTAGGTACAAGGAGCCCATAAAACTCACAGCGTGAATACCATCATCCAATATCAATCTTGAGGCTTATTGTCTCAAATGTATAGCTATTGCACAAATTACAATTTTTGCGGGTTTGATTTTAATATAAGTTGTTATTATTCGTATAAGTAGTAGGCAGCGGCTTGGCTCTGCTCCTGGCATTGCTGAAGTCCATGGGCGACGGTAACCACTTACCATCGGGTGGGCCGTACGCTCGTCTGCCTACAAAGGCAATAAAAAAAATCGTATAAGTAATTCGAGAACATGTATCAAGTACATATTTAATAACAAATTAGTAGCCGCGTGCGGGATTTGAACATCAGTACAGTCGCATCGCTCGATACGAGTGTACCGAGCGTCTTATCCTTGAGGCCACGACCACAACAATGATATTATGTTATTTCGAAATTGAACTTTAAACGCGAAACATATAGTACTTTGTGACTTTGTTCATTTTATCTCTATCTCACTCCACCCTGGTATTACTATTCCAGACATTAGTATTGGAAACCTATACAAAACAAATATCCTGGAATTCATGATGAATTTCTTTAACTGCTTTTAGTGGCCATTATTTTCATTAGATTGCTTAAATTCTAGAATTTTTGCTTAATGCAAAATACGCCTCCGTGTTTCCTCTGTGCTATGTGCGTATGTGCTTCTACGGAATTTCTTAAAGCGGCACCTGTGATCTACCTGGCGCCTGTGATATCCATGGGCGATGGTAACTAACCACAAGGGGGTTGCCCATTGAGTTTATCGCCGGATCTTCTCAGTGGATCGCGTTTGCGATCCGGTGGTAAATTTTGCGTAGCACTGCTCTTGCTTGGGTCAGTGTTAGCAACGCCTCCTGGTTTGAGCCCCAAAAGCTCACCTACACGCTAAGGTTACGCTGACATAGCCTCTCAAGGTTATCGGCTTAGGTACAAAAAAAAAACAAGAGAGTGCAAGTTAAGCTCTGCTTTCGTGACTATAGGAATAACAAAAATGCTCACGTGAATCAATTATCTCCAAGCTCGAGTCGATCAGCATTTGAAACGTCAAAATCCAGAGGCACACTTTAAAATTCAGCATTGCCATTTTTCACTAACACCACACGTCCGTCGACACAGCACACGTGATAAAACTGCGACACACATTGATTTCACCAAAATTCAAAAACTATTTAGACATTGTTTCGCTCTTTATTCCCCGAAGGAATCTGCGTTTACGCAAATAAATTTAAATTTTACGTCTTCAACATCAAAGTTCGCATTCCTCCAACACCGTACTACTAAAACTCATTATTGAGCATCACAAAAAAATGCATAATTTTTAGACGGTTACTTTCGTGTCACTCATAACTGATGCTATTTTTGTGGTCACTCAATAATTAATTGTCGCTGTTTCATTTTTGTTGGATGCTTTCCAATGCGTGCTATGAAGGCGCGGCATCCGGGCTACATCTGAAAACAAAATTAGATATTAATATAAATGTTTTATATCGTTTTAAGAATCAAGGGCGTTTCTAAAAATATTCAATTACTCATATGCTGAATAGCAATATTCAGCAACCAACATTCTTGTTACACTTTGATATGCAATCGATTAATAACTTATTGGTTGGTTATCTTTATTTAATATTTATAAATACTATTAGACCCATATACATATACGCAGTTTTTAACCGTGTAACTATTTATTTCTGTGTCAAAATCATATGCCAAAGTGGTATATATACAGGGTGTCCCATAGAGGAACGGATAATCCTGAAAAACCTCATAGTAGAGCTTTTGGGGATACAAAATAAAAAAATTAAACAAAATTCTCATGTAGTACCCAAATTACGTATTTTAAAAAAAGTTCATATTTTCCATACTGCTATGCGTTTCTGGAATATACAACAGCTATAAATGAATGAAATCCATAGGTAAATTTTAATCATGAAATTTGGTATTTTTTCTTTATTTTTAATTAGAGTTTATTTTTAATTTCTTTATTTTTATTTTTTACTTTATTTTTATTTTAAAAAAATTAAACTAAAAAGAAATTCTTAGGTAATAACTTAAGAATTTTTTTATGTTTAATTTTGAGTCCCCAATAGCTCTATTATGAGGTGTTTCAGGACTATCCATTCTTTCTGGGACACCCTGTATGACATAGAATATTCTAAAATGATTGAACAATAATAAAAGACTTAATTGCGTTTTCTTTAAAATATTAAGAAAACAACGTTTAAAGCCTTTATTTTTTTGTTTAAATTATTATTTCACAAAGTATTATTGAATTATGTAATACTGAACTTCTCTTTCTTCTCAATGACAGACAGTTCAGTGAACCTACGTAAGAAAATGCTCTTTTTAAAAACTAAAAAGTTTTTCTTTACACATAATATTATGTTATATTATTTAGTTTAGCGTCAATGTTTCTATTATTTAAATTTAAATTTTGATAACAGAAAGAAAAAAGTCTCTTTTACTCGATAGCTCTTTCAAAATAGCCGTTTCTTAATGCAACAGTTGATAATTTATGGAGTCACAGCATAAAGTATTGGAACGGACATGCTCTACAACACAGTCGAAGCGAGAACGATAATTTAGGACCGATGAATTTACGAAGATAGCAAACATAAGTGGCCGGGCCGTTTGTGTGCGCACACCGACAACTAAACGATATTGTCGCGACAAGCACACAATTCTACGGAACTGTTTGGTCGACTGTGCTTCAAATTTCAATCGTGGCTTAAGCGTAACGGCCATCAAAGTCTAACGTCAAAAGCAGTGATGAATTTTGATCATACTCGCAATGATTGAACCATAAAAAGAGTTTAAATTGTCTACGATTGACAAAGTCCCAAGAAATTATAAGTATTTTTAATGTTTTTTCTTCATTTTGAAAGATTCATAGCACCACAAACAAAAGCTAGTTAAAAATATTACAAACAAGCTGACCCGGTAGACTTCGTAGTGCCTCAATCGATAAATAAAAGACTTAAGCTTTGGTATAAAATAAACTTTAAAAAAAACATAAGGAATCCGTCCTACGGGGGACACATCAAAGGAAAAACAAATTTGTTTGTTTTTATATAATTCCGAGCATTTTCATATTTATCTACCTTTTAAACCTTCTCTGGACTTCCACAAATAATTCAAGACCAAAATTAGCCAAATCGGTCCAGCCGTTCTTGAGTTTTAGCGAGACTAACGAACAGCAATTCATATATAGAAAATAGAAATTAAAATGAAATTTAATCGATAGTTTTCAAAAATATTTTAAGTTTGGTCTCCTACTAAATACTAATGGAGACTAAAATATCAAACATCTGCGTCACCGTATCCGCTGGTAAGTATTATTATTTAGTTCCGTTCGAAAATGGACGCATCCTATTCATAAATTAATTGAATTAATTGTGTGTTTCGGAGACTAAATTAATATTTGAATGAGTTGCATGCTCATTAAGCTGAAATGCGCGATGCAGAATTTGATTCTCGTAACAGTTCAATAAAAAATATATATTATGTACATAACTAATGGGTTCCTCTACATTTGAAGTTCGACTATTGATTTTTATGACACAATGTTATTACTTCTATGAAATCGTTTGTGAACATTTCTAGACTTTGAAAGCTTCTCAACATTCTTAGCTACTCACTTAACTCTTAGAACTACTATCTGTGACCTTGTTCGTTCACAAAGTCCGCTATAGAAAGCAGAATATTATATACACTTGACACTATTCTTGAGACCTTAGAACTTATATCTCAAGGTGGGTGGCGCATTTACGTTGTGGATGTCTATGGGCTCCAGTAACCACTTAACACCAGGTGGGCTGTGAGCCCGTCCACCCATCTAAGCAATAAAAAAAAATAAAAAACTTGACATTGGCGAAATCTAAAAGGAAACGCCATAAACCCAAGAGATAGATAGAAAGCTTGTAAAGTTCATTCAGTACGATGTAAAAGCTCGGTATTTAACAACAATCCAACATACAGATTTATTCCAGAAGCTTTAAATGCTAACGAGCTAGTAACTCCATATTTCCGTTTCGTGTTACTGGGCTTGGTATTCGCTTCGCTCTTGATATATTTTGAGTTATGAAATTTCATGGTAGTCTATGCCTAGAAAAGTGGTAGCTTTTTCTTGGCATAGAGTAGTAGTATATTTTTTGTACACTTTTATGCCAGAAAACTTAGTTTCAATCAACAGACAAACATCAACTGTTGTCTATAAATGCATTTTCTATAAATATTTTTGTCTATAAGAATGTAAGTACACTTGTGTCTCAGTGGCCGGTATTGCATTGATTAGACCTTTGAAGATTGGGTTTTCGAGCACATTCTGTAATGTGGTCTTTGAAATTATCTGCTCTTTAAGATTTAATCAATTGTTTAATGACACAAGTGATTGTATTTGTACAATAGTACATACATATATATAGTAGTATATACATATATTTAGTTGGCTGTCCGCTATCTGCTTCCAACGTATTCTCACTTACTTCGGCCACATCGCTCGTAGAGGCCCCGATAACTTGAGTTACCGATGGTAGGTACCGACGGTATGGTACCGATGGTAGTTGTTCAGGTTGACGGGAGAAAATCACGCGCGACGCTCACCTACCCGCTGGTCTAATCTGGTTAAGACACTCACCGGCCTGCCGATAACCGAGGCTATAAAGACCGCAGAGGACAGGAAGACGTGGGGAAGCATTGTGCATCGAGTGGTCCACATTTCAGATTAGACACGACCTTCAGCAATGAGGAGACCGACTCAGAAGAAGAAGAAGATATATAGTTGCTCATTTGGTAGTTCGAATACTAATTCGAATATTATTTCGAACTATCAAATAAGCCAGTAATTATCTAGAAGAAATTTTCACAAGCGAACTCTCCTGGCAGGCTTTATCTCCCCAAAACAAAACAACTGTTAAGTTTTAATGCGAAACAAAATAATTCATGTATTTCCCTAAAACCTAAAACCCCGCCATTAAAAGATTATCCTTCGAAACGATTACAAGAAATTTGTTGACCTCCGACTCCATTTAGCTTAGCTCTGCTTTTTGGTTTTACATCTGGATTTACAATAAAACAACTTTATCCGTTCACATTGAAATGAACGTGAAATTTTAATTTAACAATTCCCCTAAATAGGGAAATGAAAAATGGAAATAAAATCATTTCGTTTTTCCGTTTTCCGGTGCACGACTTAGAATTAACTTGATAACAGTCGATGGTGAACTTAAACAAGTAGCTACACTTTATTTTCTACAATAGCGTAATAATTACCATTTGATTTGACGAAAAATAATCGAAAGGATGCTGGCTAAAAATGCAATAAATGTCGCTAATTTTTGCGATAACTTTCTAAGTCTTGGTTACTTGAGTGAAGCATCAATTTATCACAGCCCGTAAGGAGCATAATATTGTGAATACTGAACCCCATATAGAATGAGGCTGAAGTTTCAACTGCACTACTATAAACAATAAACAAATCGTTTGGTATGTACCAATGATGGTGGTGGAAATACCCAATATAAACCCGCACTCAAACACCAATAAAATTTAATCTTTACATGTATTCAATTTTCGGAGTTGGAAATAAATAGAATAATTCTAATTAATATACAAAACATGTGAGATCAAAGGGCAAAGGATCGTATAATTATAACAGCCGGTTCTGTTATTTCAACAAAGTAAATAAATACCCTAAGCTGAACCGTAGCAACAAATTCCTCGATTCAATTACATTATTACCAAATTATTTTTCTGGAAATGTATGGAGAAGGATTGGTACCATCGTCATCCACCACCGGTCAATAAAAGATGATCCGTGAACGCATCTGCGCAGGTACAATAAAAAGGCTAATCAAAAATAAAATGGTAATAAAAATTATGATCATTACTTTACAGAAGATACCAATTTTGGTTGTCCCATTGCAAATGGTCGCTTCTTTCACTTAGAGTAACATTTCTGACAGATACATACACAAGCTACTATATATCTATATATTAATACGTGAAGCAAAAACTTTGTATCCCTTTTTACGAAAATTGTGCGGACGGAGGAGTATGAAATTTCCCACACTTATAGAGAGTATAGAGAAGAAGTGCACAGTGCTAATATTTTTTTTAAATAATGCGTAAAAGATAGATTAAATCAATAAAGAAAACATTACACACACTACATACCATGTATTTGACGCACACACGTATGCATACTATTTATTGTCAAACTTTTGTTCTTGACGTCTGTTGTCAAATTGAGAATAGATTAAATATTGTTTGCCTATGTTAATATTTTTTATAGTGTAATCTTGGCGAAATTTGTGATTATAGAAGTATGAAATACAATCATAATAGTGTACAAACTTACAATTCCAATTAATTATAGTTGAATTTCGACTACTGCGGAACTCTAGTTACTTATTAAAATTTCGTAGAGCGGAGCTATCGTAAACAAAATAAGT